AGTTTAATCAGTCTACAGCTGTTAGTATGGAATTGGGTGATTCCATGGTGTTGGGGGTCCAGGGTTTATATTTTGTTGTTCTGCTATCCTACCCTCATCTGCGTAATAGAAAAGAGCTCCCTGCCACATCTGCATCGCAAGGCCAGTGAGGAAGGGTTCGCAGCCACACTTCTTCCCTTTAAAGCCTCAATCCCAGAGTTTCACGCATTGCTTCTGGTACGTCCCATTGACTAGCCCTTAGTGACGTGGCCATACCAAAATGCAGTTGTGCAGAGAAATGCAGTCTTTATTCTGGGAGCCATGTGCCTGCAGCTTGAGCATCTCAAATCCAAAAATCTGAAATGTTCCCAAATTTGAAACTTTTTTTTGAGCACCATTACACCCAAAAGAAATGCTCATTGGAGAATTTCAGATTTTCAGATTTGGGATATGCAACCAGTGTGCAAATATTCCAAAATCCAAAGAAGATGGAAATTCAAAACACTTCTCGTTTCAAGCATTTTGAATAAATGTACTATAATTCAGAGATGTATGACTGAAGAGAGCAAAGGAGAATCATTAACAGAGACCATTGAGCAGGCTCTTACCCAACACTCATCTACATAGGTGAAGATGTAGGCATGAGGATATTCGCTGCAGCATTGTCGTAACTGAAAAAACCCTAGTAACAGTCTGGATGACAGCTACCCCTAGGGGACTGATTAAAGAAAGAGGGATACGGTTGTTCAGTGGAACACTATGCAGCAGTTAAAAATGAATGTGGTAAATGTTTATTTGTAATAAGGAGAGATGTCTAGATTATATGAAGCTAGAAAAGGGAGCTGCAAAGCCATTAAGTAAAAAAGCAAAAATACATATGCATTGAGTGAGGCTCCTAGACAACTGAGCAAAATGAAATGAGTGGACGGGAAACTCTTACCTTCTGTTTTTCATTCTTCACACTGAAATTCTTACCATATATATGCACTACTTTTTAAATGATAAAATAACTTTAAAAAAAGGAGTCAGTTTCATGAGTACCAACATGGAATGATTTCAAAAACGTATTAAGCAAAAAGCAAGTTCAAGAAATAGATGGAATGTAATCCCACTTGCATGTTTAAAAGAAATATATGTCTCTGTGTCTGTGTGTAAACTCAGAATAGTAGCTGGTGCCTAGTAAGCTCTCCTATGCGCTGTCTGTTATTATGTTACAAATATGACTGCCTGAACAGGTTTAGAAGCCACACCAAGCTGTCAAATGTGGGAGAAAGGCCACCTATGAGGAGGGGTGGGATCTTTGCCAGGAGTAAGAGGAAGACGGGACATGTCCAAGGCAATTCACCTTTTGTTCTACATACAGTTGTGTTGTTTGAATCTTTCCAAACGTATATTAGTTCTTATGTTTTAAATTTCAATGATAAAACCTGTTAACGCATATAAAAGCCACGACACCTACCACATATCTGGGACGCAGCACATGCAGTCCGGGTTTCTAGTTTCCCTCTTCCCCAACCCTTCAGAGCCAACCGTCCCTTAGAGATTTAGATAAGTGTCATTTAAACCTGCATCCTGGGAGCTTCAGGAAGCCCTGTCCTTCAAGCACATTTGAGCCTCCTCAGAGATCCTCTGAGTATCCACTGTCACCCGGCACTGAACTGTGGGACACAGCCTGCCCCCGACCTCCAGCCAGCTCATCCGCCCTGCTCCAGGCTGCTTTCTCTCCCCAGCCCACTGCCCTGCTCCATGCATGCACAGGACTCACCAGGATTTGTCCGGCTCTTGATGGATGAAAATGGGTCTAACCTCAGAGAATTAGAAGAACAAAGAGAAGAAAGACTGAAAACTCCTTATAAGATCAAAGAAATCAGACTTGGGTAATTTAACCCCTCTAAACCTTTGATTCCTCATGTGTAAAATGGGAATGGTAGTAATAATATCTATTTCCCAAGGTTCTGAAGGAGAAGAGAGAATATGTGTACAACTGTTATGTTCTTTGTCTCCAGCGTGCAGTATTTGTGAGGACACATTTCATCTACTATTCAGAATAAACAGCTTGGGGATCTGTGTCATTATCATGACCTTAGCCTTCTGCTCCGGGGTCCTTCCCTGATAAAAACAGACTACCCCCGGGGGCAGAATCGGCTGAAGGCATCAGGTCCTGATTGCAATTTCCTTGTGGAGAGGGACTTGGAGAATCTCAGAGGCCTGCCGTAGAGTAGGAATCTGGGTGGTTGCTGGCACTGGGGTCGCACTGGAACTCTGGGCTGCTCCTGCACTGTCCTCCGCTCCTGCCTTGTGGACCAGTGGAGAGCTAGGTAGACACCTCACTGCAGCCAGGGTTCCCGCTGGCTGCTGCAAGCCCTGTCCACCATAGTCTCAGTTTCCACTGGCTAATGAGGATGGGGGTGGGGTGGCCATGAATGACTGCAGAGTGTGTGCAGTTCACCTTCCTGTGCGCCACCTCCCCCATCTGCATAACCTTGGGGGGAACCGCTGGTTATAAGTGCCAGGGCTTGACTGTGTCCTCTAATTACTCAGCTCTTTGACCACTTTCTCTCTCTCCTCTCCCTCTCTTTTTTTTTTTTTTTTTTTGAGACAGGGTCTTGCTCTGTCACCCAGGCTAGGATGTAGTGGCACGATCTCGGCTCACTGCAACCTCTGCCTTCTGAGTTCAAACAATTCTCCTGACTCAGCCTCCCCAGTACCTGGGATTACAGGTGCCCGCCACCATATCTGGCTGATTTTTGTATTTTTTTTTTTAGTAGAGACAGGTTTTCACCATGTTGGCCAGGCTGGTCTTGAACTCCTGACCTCAAGTGATCCACCTGCCTCAGCCTCCCAACGTGCTGGGATTACAGGCGTGAGCCACCGCACCTGGCTTCTCTCCTCTTTTTCTTTCTTACACACATACACAGAGGCGTGAGCACACACACACGCTTCTTTTCTACAGTGCCAGTAAATTTGGTATGAAATGGTTTCCGACCTCAGCCACATTGAGAAATTCCTCCAGCTGTCTGAATTCTGGCCCATGACCCCCAACAACTACGTATCCCCCAGGGCTCACCACAGAATTGGGTAACACCCAATGAATAGTTACTGCAGTTGTTTAATTCCACGATTATCTGTCTGTGTGCTGAGGCCCCAACTTGCAGTCCACAGTCTAGTCATTACAATTCTTCTCCATCCTCACAAGGGAGGGCAGCAGGAGCTGCAAGAAATGTTATTGATAATTGTAGACGCCATCACAGTAAACACAGGGCCTCCATTAGAATCCACTTGACATGTCGTGTTGTCCCTGGATGCCAACACAGTAATTAAACTGATTTGAAACTTCCACTGCACGATGAGGTGGAACAAGAACCAATTTAACGGGCTGTAGGAATCAGCTCATTTGAAATGATTAAAATTTTCATCAGAGGAGGGAAGAGAAGAAAAAAAAAGAGTGAGGTGACGATGACTATTTTTTCAAAGGCCCAGTGCCATTCAGTTGTGTGTCTTAGCCCTGGTTCCCCTGGAGACTGGCTGGCTGTGTGGAGGTATGGCTGAGAGGCGGCCCAGCCCTGCCTGCTGCGCCAGCTGGAGGCAAGCACGCAGGAGGTTGGGGCTTCCATGGGCCATTAGCACTTGTTTCACGTGAACCCTTCCTCTCCTATGAATGATGGTCCCAATCCTGCACCTCTCCCTGCACCCAAATCCTTGCCATTGCCTAATTATAGACAAAGATTTGATCTTGACCTTGGCTGTATGACTTGCTTTAGCCAATGACCCTGATGGAGGTAATGGTGTGTGGTTCTGAGCCTAAGAGGCCTCATGTTCTTCCATTTGCCCTCTTGTAAGGGAGCAGAGCAACCCCCGACAACCCATAGGTCTGCAGCAAGGAGCAGAACCACCCAGCAGAGCCCAGCCTGGGCAGGTGGAGGCATCCAGCCAATGCACAGATTCGTGGTAATGAAGTTTATTACGTTAGGCCACTAATGTGGGATGATTTGTTGTATTGCAAAACTGATACATGACCCCAACCTGGCTGCCGTGGTCTGCCCCACAGAATGATCCAGGTGACCACTGAAGGACGCTCATTCTCCCTGGGGTTTCTCTTTCCTCCTTCATGGGGCTGGCCATTTATTCCATGATTGTCTACAGATCCAGAACACACTTTTCCAAATTTTTCCTTTTCAGCTGAGGAGGTCTTTTTTTATTTTATTTTATTTTTTTGAGATGGAGTCTTGCTCTGTTGCTCAGGCTGGAGTACAGTTGCACAACCTCAGCTCACTGCAACCTCCGCCTCCTGGGTTCAAGCAATTCTCCCTGCCTGAGCCTCCTCAGTAACTGGGATTACAGGCACCCACCACCACGCACAGCTAATTTTTGTATTTTTAGTGAAGACAGGTTTTCACCATGTTGGCCAGGCTGGTCTCGAACTCCCGACCTCGTGATCCACCCACCTCCAGCCTCCCAAAGTGCTGGGATTATAGGAGTGGGCCACCACACTCCACCAGGAATTCTTATTTGAAAGGAAATCTCTTACATGCCCTCACATATATATAATGGGTGTGGCCCAGTTTACCAGTTTGGAGAAGAAATATCAGGTGGAGAGGGACTGGGGTGGGAATATCTGATCAGGCATGCATGAGACCTAGGTCTCCGTTGTCATTGCTGCCAATGGTGCCTTGATGAGACCTGGTCCTACACAGACCAATGTGACCAGTGCCCTGACTTGCTGGGATGACGTTCAACCACCTTGTCCAGATGCCTGCACATGAGGGCACCAAGACGAATGCCCTTTAAATGTTACACTCACATGTTTTGCTGTTGTTTACTAAGATTTCCATGTCTGGGGAGTACTTACAGCTTGAGCCACACATCATAAGTAAAGCAATCTCAAACCTCACCTGTGAACATACTGAATTAGTCTATGTGAGCTCTTCCTTCTGAAAGATTACCTCTTGGGGTCTCTGGCTTCTTTTAACAGTGGAACTGAGTAATGACTCTCTTAGTCTGTCATAGAGTTCTTTTTTTTTTTTTTAACTAAAAGAGTTGACAATTTTATTTTCACATTTCCCAATCCAAATGAAAACTGCATCTTTTTTGCCCCCCCCTCCCCTCCAAAACTATTCTCTTTGATCAGGCAGGGGAGCAAGTCTTCCTTATGCTGTTTAGAAAACCCAGCATTACAGCAGCATGATCTCCTGGTGAAGCAGAGCAGGTAATATAAAACTGATAGAATGAGGCCTCCCCTCTATCCTTATCTGTCTGGTCGAGTCATTCCAGGCCGAGTGGGCACCTTCATGGGATGGGCAGGAGGTCTCATCATTGGGGGCCCAGGCATCATTGGCATATGGCCTCCCATGGGTGACCTCATTCGAGGAGCAGGTCCCACTGGTATCATCCCAGGAGGAGGAGGGCCCATCATTGGCATCATGGGAGGGCCCCCCATATGGGGTGCTGGCATCATATCAGGGCGAGGAGGACCTGGAAGACTTGGGGGAGGTGTTATCATCGCCCCTGCTGGAGGAGGAGCAGAGAATGGAGTAGGAGGTATCTTTCCTTGTTGAAATGCAGCCGTTGTTTTGTCTATCAGGCCCTGAGCCTGCTCTTCCATCCATTTCTGATAGTAGTCTTTCACATTCTCTTTGTGTTTCCTACCACTGCAGTGTGTCTTTCTCACAGATGGAGAGTCATGGGTGAGGTATGTATTGCAGTAGTCACAATAAAACTTGGGCATGTTGCTCTGCAAGCCGTTGGCCACTCCCTGTCATAAAGTTCTAATGCCAATTCACATTTTTTTCTCTCATAATACTTAGAACCCCCAATTTCTAACTGGGTAAGCATAATGTCCAAAAGTTAAAAAAATGACTTTTTTTTTTTTCTGAGATGGAGTCTTGCTCTGTCACCAGGCTGGAGTGCAGTGGTGTGATCTCAGCTCACTGCAACCTCCACCTCCCAGGTTCAAGAGATTCTCCTGCCTCAGCCTCCTGAGTAGCTGGGACTACAGGCGCATGCCACCATGCCTAGCTAATTTTTTGTATTTTTAGTAGAGACAGGGTTTCACCATGTTTGCCAAAATGATCTTAATCTCTTGACCTCGTGATCTGCCCACGTTTCCCTCCCAAAGTGCTGGGATTACAGCTGTGAGCCACTGTGCCTGGCCCTTTTGTTTTTTGTTTTTGTTTTGAAACAGAGTTTCACTCTTGTTGCCCAGGCTGGAGTGCAATGGCAAGGTCTCAGGTCACTTCAACCTCTGGGTTGAACTCCTGGGTTCAAGCAATTCAACCACTTGAACTCCTGGGTTCAAGCAATTCTCCTGCCTTAGCCTCCCAAGTAGCTGGGATTACAGGTGTGCACCACCACACTTGGCTAATTTTTGTATTTTTAGTAGAGAAGGGGTTTCACTATGTTGGCTAGGCTGGTCTTGAACTCCTGACCTCAGGTGATCCACCCGCCTTGGCCTCCCAAAGTGCTGGGATTTCAGGTGTGAGCCACTGTGCCTGGCCAAAAGCATGACTTCTGTACTGAACACAGGTTGAAAACTTTATTTGATTCATTCATTAATGAGGGAAACACAGTGAAATGGTAAGGCTGGTTCAAAGAGCATTTGAAGATGCAACAAAAAAAACTACAGGCCAATATTCCTGATGAACATTGAGGCAAAAATTCTCAACAAAATACTAGCAAACTAAATTCAGTAACATATTGAAAAGATCATTCACCATGATCAAGTGAGATTCATCCCAGGGATGCAAGGATAGTTCAACATATGTAAAACAAAAAACATGACTCATCACATCAATAGAATCAAGGACAAAAGCCATATGATCATTTCAGTAGGCACTATAAAAGCATTTGATAAAATCCAACATTCCTTCATGATGGATATCCTTAACAGGCCAGGCACAGTGACTTGCACCTGTAATCCCAGCTACACCAGAGGCTAAGCGGGGAGAGCTGCTTAAGCCCAGGAGTTTGAGGCTGCTGCACTGTTTCTGTCAGTCAGGCTGGAGTGCGGTGGTGTGATCACAGCTCACTGTAGCCTCAAACTCCCTGGTTCAGGAGATCCTTCCATCTCAGCCTCCTGAGTAGCTGGGGTTACAGGCACATGCCACCATATACAGCTAATTTTTGTATTTTGTTGTAGAGGTGAGATTTTGCCATATTGCCCAGGCGGGTCTTAAACCCCTGAGCTCGAGTGATCCACCTGCTTTGGCCTCCCAAAATGCAAGGATTACAGATGTAAGCCACCATGCCTGGCCTAATTTTTTTTTTTTTTAATCCTCAACAATTGGGTATAGAAGGAACATCCCTCAACATGGTAATGAACACATATGACAAGCTCACAGCTAATACACTAAATGGGGAAAATTGAAAGCCATTCTGCTAAGCTCTGGAGCAAAACACAATGCTCACTGTTAGCACTTTTTTTTTTTTTTTGAGACGGAGTTTCACTCTTGTTACCCAGGCTGGAGTGCAATGGCGCGATCTCGGCTCACCGCAACCTCCGCCTCCTGGGTTCAGGCAATTCTCCTGCCTCAACCTCCTCAGTAGCTGGGATTACAGGCACGCGCCACCATGCCCAGCTAATGTTTTTGTATTTTTAGTAGAGACGGGGTTTCACCGTGTTGACCAGGATGGTCTCGATCTCTTGACCTCGTGATCCACCCGCCTCGGCCTCCCAAAGTGCTGGGATTACAGGCTTGAGCCACCGCACCCGGCCAGCACTTTTATTCAGTATAGTACCAGAAGCCCTAGTCTAAGCAATAAGGCAAGAGAAAGATATAAAGGGCTAGGAGTCTAGAGTGTTCTAGTGGGGCAGGATGCATGCAATGAGGGACATATTTCTATACCAGGTCAATTGTCCAAAAGACCTCAGAATAAAGGAAGCTGAATGTCTAGCACACTCAGGGGTTGTGATTTCTTTTCTCATTCTAAATAAATATTCACTTTTGTGCCTAATTTTTGATTTGCAATTTTTCTTCCTTTTTTTTTTTTCTTTTGAGAAAGGGTCTCACTCTGTCACCTAGGCTGGAGTGCAGTGGCACCATCACGGCTCACTGTAGCCTCAAACTCCCAGGCTTAAGTTATCCTCCTGCCTCAGCCTTCTGAGTAGCTGAGACCACAGGCACATGCCAGCACACCGAGCTAATTTTTATTTTTATTTTTTTGCTTATTATTGTTTTTTTTTGAGACAGAGTCTCTCTGTTGCCCAGGCGGGAATGCACAGGGGCGATCTCGGCTCCCTGGAACCTCTGCCTCCCAGGTTCCAGCGATTCTCCTGCCTCAGCCTCCCGAGTAGCTGGGACGGCAGGCACTCACCACTATATCTGGCAAATTTTTGCATTTTTAGTAGAGACAGGGTTTTATCCTGTTGGCCAGGCTAGTCTCAAACTCCTGACCTCCTGTGATCCACCCCCTTTGGCCTCCCAAAGTGCTGGGATTACAGCTGCAAGCCACTGTGCCCAGGAAAAACTACATAGTAGTTTTTCATAGTAGTTTCAAAGCTACATAGTTGGAAAGAAAATTTTAAAAACCATAAACAAAAAACATTTGAAAAATTGGAGTTTATACAGTCTTATTAAAGAAAGAATTTTGGATACATAGGTTAGATACACAACTGGCTAACATGCTACAGGGCAATTAACCCTGATCTTTGAGGTTATCTTTTTGTTGGTACTCAAAGGGTGCTCTCACTAGCCATCTTGTCACAAGAGTACAATGAACAAAGGAAAACACACAAATTTATCCCTTACGCATTTGGGGTCGTCCTTACTGCTGTGTCTGATCTCCGTTCGCTGGAGTCAGACCTCACAATCTAAACTAAAACACGACTGGCTAACAACTTAAAACTTTTCTAAACAGGTAAAAGCAATGGAGAGCTGGGACATGCCTGTGAGCACATCCAGCACAGATATCTTGGTTAAAGTACAAGGACATAGAATGTACTACGTGCCTACAAGTATGGCATGTCTAACAGCTACACAGGGTAGGGCTTAACAAAAAGTTATTAGCACATTTACTCTTTAACAAGAAAGGAAACTTTTAAAAGGAACTTTTCTACTTCCCACAGTTTTCTACTGGACAGGAATCATTTGCATCTACACAACTCTGCAGGCTAACTTGCAACTTCGGAGTTTGAGCCCTCAGTTAATAGTAAACAAGATAGTCAAACAATACAGTACATTTTCCTAGAAAATTAATAATTGTGAGGCAAGCCTGCTAATATTTCAGCACAACATTGAAAGGACGTACAAATACCTTCTTGGCCTTATTTCCAGGCTTTGGATAGTTTTCCTTCTTACTCGTCAGGTCACCCTTACAGCCATAGCAGCTTGCTCCGGGATACTGAACAGATCCTTCAGTGTCAGGCAGGTGGGGAGAAGTTGCTGAACGTGGAGGTGGAACACCAATGAAAAAGGGCCACGCTTTTTAGTTCTATATATAGGAAGGCCAGTTCCTGGTTAATCGGATCCTCTGCCTGCCTGCCTGGCTGCTTCCTAGGTACTCACAGTTCTCCCAACAAGCCTCAAGGACTATGACCCCTTCTCTGAACTATTGCTCTATCTTTTGCTCATGGCCCTGTCTGCCTGTGACCTCTGGATATTTTAGAATTCACAAATGTGTTGTCATTTTAAGAGTACTTCCTGTTCTTTCACTTCCTGCAGCCACTACGAGGTCCACAAAGTGTCTAGCACATAGCAGATGCTAATGGGCACGGTAAGCTGCGCATCTCTCTCCTTATCAGAGGCACACAGACGCTCCATTCCACAGATGTGTGCTCAACATGCCCCTTCCACATTTCCCCCACGTAGACAGTGATCTCTCTCTTTCTCTCTCGTCTCCACCCACTACAATCCTAGCCACATTCTGAGATGCAGCTCTGATGCTACCCTCTCCAAGGGGGTTTCTTCTCCCTACTGGCATGTGTCTCCGTATTCCCAAGCAGTTTTTCTCTGTATTGGGGCCTCCTTTTCACCCTGCCATGGTCCACGGGTCACTGATACTTCACATTGCCCAGGGAAGTGGGCTCCCAAAGACAAGAACCTGGTCTTCATCATCTCTGTCTCTGTCCATGGCACCTAGTGATGCTAAGCACATGCTCTCTGGATCAGGCAATGGCCACTTGAGCTCAGGGGTGGCTGTTTCTGCCTTTGGCAGCAAATTCTGTCTTGTTTGCTGTGGGCAGCACTTCAGGGCCCATCACCTGCAGGAGTCAGACTTCAAAGGTGCTGAGCAGGGGACAGATGGTGCTTGTCCTCTCCCGACTAAAGGAGTCCTTGGCGAACGGCTGATCTCAGCTGGAGCATGTCCTTTCTGCTTAATCAGCTGCTCCTTACATTCTCTGCTGGTGGTGGTGGAGTGGGGTGGTGAGGCAGCTGCTGCCTTTGCTATGGCTATGATTCGGACCTGCAGCCACTGCAGGATGTGGAGCCAGGATCCAAAATAGAGACCTGGAGTCCCTCAGTGTACACACATGAGCTTCTGCTGGGAAAAGGCCTGGCCTTTCCTGTGCAGGTGGCTGCTCCAGGAGAAGCAGCAGATGCTTCATAGCCTGGGCAGAGAAACCCTAGATGCAAGCTGCTCAACTTGTGGCCCACGAACCACCAGCAGGGACACCAACACAGGGAGCGTATTAGACACAGAATCCAGGGCGTCACCCCAACCTCCGGAATCAGAACCTGAATTTTAGGGAAACCCTCTAAGTCATGTGAATGCACATAAACGTGTAAGAAGCACTGGTCAGTTAAGAGCCAGGCTCATC